TCGAATGTTAGAAATGTTATTATTTTTTGATCAGGAAAAAACTTCAGGTCAAATCTCGTTCGTGGTCGAATTCGTCCTCTAATCTAAAGGTCTCTGTTTTCTTATCTTTACTTTTCCTTCTTTTTTCCCCTCGGGGAAATGCTATTTATTCCTTTCTTCTATCGCCAACTAAAAGAATCAACGCGGTGAATGTCAATTTTGCTCTCGACTGTTGCAGAATTATTTCAGTATCTTTGTCTAGATTCCCTCAAGTGCCTGAATATAAACTAAATCTTTTCTCGAATGATTTTTGGAAAGAACTTCAGATTTCAGGCAGCTGAACAGATTAAAAACGTGATAAATTTTCTCCATAAAAAGCCATTCGGGTGTCTTCAAAAGGGCATTGAAAATGGTCGTCATTTATTTATGTTAAATCCATTAAAGCATGTTAACCTAATATTAATTATATATCATGTTTTGACAATCCGTTTACGTATTATCGTCTTAGTTTGTTCGTTGCTAGATTTATCGCAGAAGATCAGGGGGAAAAAATGATTTCTTTTTCATTCATGGTAGGAAATACCATTATATTCTTCATCTCATTTGATCCAACTCTTTATAGATCGAAACTTAAGCTTTTAAGCCCGTGGCCGATTAACTTGACCTTTTAAAAGCTAATCTCAAAGCAATGACGTAAGACTACTTGGCGGTTTACTTAAAATTTATTCATTTTGTTATGTTTATTCATTTTAAACTTGCTCTATCGCAGCAAAATCTAGCATGGTTATGAAGTCAACAATCCTTTGGTATTTCGTTCTTTCTACCTTAGTGGTAGCTACGACTGTATTTTCGAAACATATCTCTGGTCTTGGTAAGTGCTAGCTACTTCAAGAAATTTACATACCGTTGAAAAATGTAAGGTTGAATAAATATGGAATAATTGTTAAAAGCTAAATAAAAGACGAAATGTAATGTCGTTGGAATTAAAAATAATGCTATAATGACAATGATAAAGATTCTCGTCCGTGACATTTGCGATACCGGTGCGACGCTTTACCAACTTAGCTACCAAGCCATACAACAGGATTCATCAACACGCTGCTGACTGAGTTCTAAAATAAGCACATAAATTGTTAACTTGTCGAGATAATGGAAAATTGGTTTAGTAACTTATTATTTCTTTTTTATTTTCAGTTTATTTAATTATTTTCCCGGCCGCTACAGCAACCCTTAAAAAGAGGATTATTAGAATACACTAGTTTTCTTCATAATGCGCAATTTCTTAACAGTTAATGTATACGATTGATTTTAGAAGAATCGCATACGGAAACAAAAGGATCTCAGCTCTCCTCGCCATGGAAAAGAGCTCTTCCACCGCCATTTTTCGCGGGAGACAGGAAACCAGAGGGGCTTCCTGGTATTTCTGGTGGGATAGACACCCTTCAAACGCATCCGCCTAACACTGCAGCTCGTTATTTTTCTCTCTTTGACCCAAGCACGAATACTCCTTTTTATTCAGCGTATAAAGTTACTCCCGCTCAAGCAGTTAGAATTGGGACGTATGGAAGAAAGGATGCAAATGGTAAATGGAGAAACCCTCCAGGTATATATTTATAGAGATTATCTATTTTACTGGAAAATGTTTGAAAATGATGCAAGATTTCACAGAAAAAAGGGAGTGCGGTCTCCTTATGCTCAGACTCCCCTAAATCCGCCGATGTTTCTCTTAATAAACTGGCGAGCGTACGCCGACCTCAGGACCAGATTCAGTGTATGCTAAAGAGAGGCGACCCCTTCCGGTTATGGTCCTTTATCAGGTGCCTGAGATCACAATAATCTGAAAACGATGTCCGCTGAGGGAAAATTCCCCAGTTAATTATTGTTATAACACGTCTACGGAAAGTGTCCGTTAGGTAGGCTACAGTGTAAAAGTGTAACACCTTTAGTTGCTGGTTTTCACTGTCACGCCATCCAGAATCAATAATCTTGGAAACAAAAGGAGGTAAATATGCAAAGACCCTTGCCAAGATTCAGGTCGGTGCAAATTTTCATATATGCGAGATCTCTCTTGGCGAGATATACTTTCGGAGAAATGATTTTCCCAAATTTATAGAGCTTTGTACGGAGACGCCATGTTGGTGTCCCTCTAAAGTGCACCAACATGCATGGCAGCCGGAAGACAAGAGCAACAAGTGATACCGGTTTTTGCTAAGAAAGCGTGAATTCATCCCTCAAGGAACTCACAAACATTAATGAGTAGTGTAGTATTTTATTTTTAAATACAAGGACTGTTCAGAGAGCAAAGTTCCCTAAAAGTCACTTTTTTACTTACATGACAACTCTCTCGGCAGCCACGTAAATGCCGTGTCACCCAAAAGGTTAGAAATTCACCCTTTCCACGTGAAAATGGTGAAAATGTAAATTCTTGGCTGCTCTAAATACTTTATATAAGTAAAAGTTCTGGAAGATCGATAATTCTCTAAGTTCATCCTCACCAAAACAAAATAAGACAAAATCAAGTTTTGCTTTTAACCAACCGACAGCCTGATTCATAACTATGGCAGAAATGAGTTCGGGTTTTGGAAAAAGTTTTAAAGTTGTTGTCACGATTATATTAAAATGTAATCTGTAGTTAATTAGAACCTCTATCTAAGTTTACAAATCTAACAGTTTATGTAGAAAGATTTTGTGGAAGAATTGTTTGAGTTTTTATAATCTTTTCTTTGTAATTTATTTTGCTGGAGACTATAAGCTTAGTGGATCCTCATTTCTTAGCAATGGTTGAATGCATATTGTTTTAGATAACGTATATGAGTTTATTAACGGAAGCTTCGCTTTTAGGCTTACTAAATTCGTCATTTACCTAATTACATGAAATTTTGGCTAGTTAGCGAATTTAGCGATTTTTCTAAAAATCGATGTCACATAAATGTTCTATTGTCGTTGTAAAAGTTTCAGTTCGTGAAATCGCGAAAAATTATGTTCCAAAATTTACGACAAATCGCTAAATTAAAGTGCCGCTAAATAAGGGTTTTCCAAAATCGCTAAATAAACATGTCACTAAAATTTCATGTAATGAGGTAAAATAAAACTGAAAAAGGTGATATGACCTATCGTTGTTCATAGGTAATCCTGATGTCGACAAGGCTTACAAAGAAGCAATCACAACTGATGGGGAGCCACTAAGCAGAGGCCATATGAATCCCTTGGGAATAAACTCGTTTGATTTGGACTTCATGAAGGCTACATTCACCCTTACCAATGCAGTACCTCAGTTTGAAGCATCAAACAGCGGCCCCTGGTAGGATTTTGAGGCAAAAATACGAGATTACGCGAAGGACATTTGTGGTCCGAGAGGTGGAACCTTGTATCTCCTGACAGGAAGATCTGAGAACGGCATTATACCCGATCCTCAAAACCGTTACAAAGTTGTTCACGATACTTCATGCACCGTACCAAAGCCCTATGTCAAGGATAAATTTCTCGGAG